TTTTTTTTTTTTTTTTTTTTCATTCCCTTTTTTAAAACTTTTTTTTTTTTTTTTTTTTTTTTTTTGCATGTTGAACACTGAACCCCTGAGATTTTCCATTTAATTTTTGGTAACACATTTGGTTATCTGGGGAAAAAAAAAAAACCCCAACAACTTTAATTTACAAAACAGGCAACCTGGATCATTTACTCTGAAATTGCTGTGATTTAACTTTTTTTTTTTCTCCCCCCAATACTCTCCTGAAGCCACATTAGTGGCGTTGTGGGACAGAGGAATGCAGTGGTACACCACAAACATGCAGTTGTGCAAAGGCGCACACACACACACTGTGCCAGAGTGACCGCTCTCATGCTATCTTCTTCTTAATGAGGCTTTGTCTTACTCTGGGCTTGGAAGACAGGAGGTCATACAAGATCAGATTGAGACAAGGTCAGCCTACTCATCAAGAGCTGTGTAAGGAAGTCTGGAGCCAGTGTCAGTCCAAATCATATCTTCTAGACACAGGCAGGAAAGAAGCAGTATGTGTGCCTCTGTGTGTGTGGGTGTGTGTGTTCCCACTGAACTGTGTGCAAACATTTGTATGGTATGTTTTATCGGAGCGACAACATGCTCAGCAACTCTTCTCTACTTATTATATTTTACTTGTACCTGTCAGTCTCACCGGCTGTTTGTCAGTCACAAGGGAAGTCTTTAATCCTACAGCACATGATGGGTTACAAACAGGAAAAAAATGACAGACTAATCACTCACTGGTTTCAACAAATGTCTGTTGGTTCGACTCCTCATCGAGCATAAGGAAGCTGGAGTTGGGTGTCGGGACTGTTGTGAGACTCCAGAGGTGGTGCTTACTGTAAGAGCTCCCACTTTCACTTGGACGTAAAGTGTGTATTCTGTGAACCGAGTCGACTCAGCGCACACTTCTGTCTGCAGAAGATAGAGATTTTACACTTTAGCGTGCATTTTTTTTTTTTGTGACAAATTTCTTAAATTCCCACAATCTGAGTGAATGCACGCAACTCTGATGAGCTAGTTTAGTGTTTAACCTTGTTTCATCTCCACCAGCGCACACCTGTTACCGTAGCACAAGCTGTCAGTTTAGCTGATCTTAGATCACATTTTAGGCTAGAAACACTGATTTATCTACCGGTTCACCTCATGTTAAGTATAACTTTTCTCTTTAACTATGGTACAAATGACAAAAAAAAAAAAAGTTGCACACATAAGTAATAAAATATACAGAGAAATCTCATTAATGAGACTTATGAGAAAAAACTAAAAAAAAAAAAGACTTGTCAACATTTCAGGTACACTACAGCATACACCATCATAAACATACTATCCTAAATACCAAGCTCCAAGTACAAAATCAAACCCAAACGTTATTTTTTCCTGTTTTCTGAACTCACAGTTTGGCTTCTAGTTGTGTGAAAAAAAAGATAATAATAATAATAATAATAATGAGTCCTTTAGATACCAGAGATGCACACAAATCTTTATTCTAGGAGTATCGTTTACCAAGGGCAATGAGAGGAGAGGGACGTATTTGGTGAAGTTCACAAAGCTGCAGTGTGCGATCGGTCCAGTCAGTGTTCTCTGGCTTTAATAATTGTGATTTATGCTTTGTTCTTCAAGAGCATGTGCGATGTCAAGTCCTTGTGACACATCGACGAGTGACATATTTTATGGGCTCCAAGTGACCTGAAATCTCTATGACACACTGACATTCAGGTCCCTACTCTGTCTTCTCCAGCCGCAGCACATACAATCTAAAATCTCTAAGCGTTTGCCTGAGTTGAAGAGGAAAAAGAAGAAGAAGAAAAAAAAAAAAGAGATTTCAACCGTGGTTTTCTGCTACAAGGTAGATACGGAAGGTTATAACCAACACCACAAGAGAGAAACTAGGCCATCAGATGCCCCTGTTCTGAGATACAAATGCATCGGCGACACTTTTTCCCTGTGTTGATTTCGTCCTTGCTGCAGGATGCTTCGGATACGAGGCGCGTAATTCTCACAGGAGGACAGTTTTAGAAAGTTAAAACCTATGGGCCAGAAGTGGAACAATGAATCTAATGACCAAGAGGATAGAACTGGGAGAGCGAACTGGACAAATGGCGGAATATATTTGGAGCTTCTGAAGACCCACTGCGATTTGCTCGGCCCGGTACGTGATGGTCACAGTTCTGAAAAGAGACAAAGACCAACAAATGCCCAAAGCACATTAGTTTAGAATAGATGTGATGTAGTGGAGTGTATACTTCTGTGCATAAATAACATGTAACATAACAAAAACCTAGGACTTCTTGTTAGATGGTTTGCGATTAGACAACATGTAGAGCGTCTCTTTCTTGTGCTGCTCTGCATATTCATTTGCATATTTGCTTTAGATTTTTTTTAGATGGATCTTTATTTGATACTGAGTGTCTATATCAGTCTTTGATTATATTATAAACTACACTAGTCAGTTGTATTTGATGTTCTTTCTTTTAGAATTTGCATCTTATTATTAGGCCCCAAGTTTTGCAGTTGATTTCTATAAAAAAAATTAAAAAAAAACTTTTATATTATTTTTGTGTTGTTTCTACTTACTTTTTGAAGCAGCAAAGCAATAATTAGACCAGTCAATCTGTCATCATGTCTTTTTGAAAGTTGTGTCAGCCTGGGAGTGACAATTATATTTGACCATTTTCATATTATACTTTGTGGCAATGAATGTTTGTTTCTCCCCCATGATCTATTTAAAGGGACCAAAATTAAAGTTATATTTGATCTCAACATAAAGTGCCTTGCAATAGTATTCGTACAATTAAACTTTGATAAATTCAAAGTTTTGCTTTTTGGTGGTCAGACTGCTTTGGTCTCTTTGCACCTGAGAACCATTTTTCATAAGTTTGGTTTATCCTCTACATGGCATGTGGTCACCTTCAGATGGTGGTTGTCACAGATTTCTGTAAAAAAAAAAAAACCCATAAATAAATAAATAACTTTCACTTTTTCCAGTGTTCCATGAAGGCTCGATTTGCGGAGTTCGTGACTGAATGTTGTTCTGTCAGTGGTTCTCCTCATAAGCTGTGGTCTCTGCAGCTCCTCCAGAGCCTGCTGACTGCTTCTGCCTGGCTATTGAGTTCATCTGAAGAGCTACGTCTTAGTATGTTTGCAGCTGTGGCATAACCTACTTATTTCTGACTGATGGGTTGAACAGTAAAATGGGTTGAGCAGTGATTTTCTAAGCTGTCGATACCGTTTCCTAATCTAAACTCGCTTTAATCTTCTCCACAACTTTATCCCTTAACTTCAGGAAAACTATAGACCACACCAGATGAATGTTTGTTCACTAATGATCTTTAACAAGAAGCCTTCATTGAGCAATTTGTACATTGCTGGGCTCCAAAGTTCTGCAGATTGGAGCTCGAGATTTAATTTTGGGTCGTCAGACTAAAGGCCACTGAATACAAAAACATGAACTTTACATTTATTTTAAAACATTTTGAAAATCATCTTATTTATTCTCCTACTTTAAACTGATGGAATATTTTCAAAGGGTTTATGTAACATGGCAATGAAGTACATTGGAGAGTGTAGTTGTAATTTCAAGCACCCTTGGATTTGTGCACTTTATTCCATGAGGAAAATATCTTTTTAAATTCAGAGAACTGCCACTTTTATACATGTTCTAATTCAACAAAACATGCAAGTGAATGAAATGACAGAGGATTATGATATTCATCCACCTGCAGAACATAAGAACGACATGCCAAAAAACACATGACACTCATGGCAGGTGAGTGGGGTAAGGCTGATGGATCTCCTCTTCGTCTCGACGACTGTTTTCCTTCGACAACATTCAAAACGAGAGAAGATTTAAACTTGTACAACTCAGTTTGCATAAACAGATTTAGGAGAACAGACGAGACAAGAGAAGGTTTAAGAATTGTGACACCCCTCTGATGTGCGCAAACACAAATCCCTCCTAGTCGTACCCCAAACACCTCAGTTTGTAGACATAACAAAACAGAGTAGCACAAAAGTGAAATCCAAAAAAAAAAAAAGAGAAGGGGAAAGTGAAGGAGAAAATTCACTCTGAGTCCAAGGTCAGTATGACCAAAAATCAGAGATCTACCAACAAAGTATCTATCAAAAAGGGGAGAAGACGCCCTTGTCCCGACCCCTGCAGAGTTGCTGGAAAGATGGTTTCCTGTAAAAAGTTTATCCGAGGGTATACAGAAGATTAACGACTGTGTTTTCATTGGATGCTCTCTCATCGTCTCGCAGTACTTAGAGGTGATAAGATCAGAATATTTATCGAGCTTCCTCTCCAGGTCATTTGCTATGTTAATTTTACGAGCTTGATGCTGCCTTTGTTTTCGTGGTCATGTGTTATTTCTCCTGAACCCTGGAGCAGAGGGGTGTGGGGGGGATTTGTATACTTAGCATGCAGTGTCTTCAAATTAAAAACCCATCCATAATTATGTATGCAGAAAGGAAGAGGGGTGTGGGGGTGCATCGTGGATGGAACAACTAATTCTACTTGCTCACTGAGAAAATTAAAATGTATTATTTCACAATCAGATCCCCCTCTTGTTTTTTTTTGTTTTTTTTTCTACGCCTCGCTCCGTTTCTGTGGATAAATGTATTGTCTTGAGACAAAAATCATGCACCTATTGATTTCAGAGGGCAAAGAGCATCTTCGGGTTGTTTGGATGTTGAGACAAAAATCTGCATTCAGACTGGATTAACATGGGCTAATGATGAGATTAACAATGCACCCTTTGTGATTATCATTGTACTTCTCTATGTAGAAAAAAAAAATAAAAAAAAACAAAAACGCCCCCATCCATTTTCCGGACGACTTAAAAGCTCTTCGCTTCAAGTATATATAAAAAAAAAAACCCTAAAAAATAAAAACATTCAATACTTTTATAATATGGACAAAGCTGCAATTATTCCCCCCATTTTTTCTGTCACTGTCAAGTTCATTAAGTGATTGAACTGAATGGATTGAGGACCATCAAGCTTTGGGGTGGGGTTGGGTTGCGGGGGGCTCCTCTGATCATAAATCAGATTGGGGAGGGTTAGGACAACCACCACGGGTCTCAGCAACATAAGCCAAACCGTTGCAACTATGACCTCATCCTGGCCCGCGAAATATCCATAAAAAGCAAACATTTAGCCAAAGATAAGACATGAACTCCGGCATATGTGGACATCTATTACAATGATGAAGCTGTCTGAGCGAGGGAGAATCCCCCTCACCGTGACATCTGTGGGTTATTCATGTGAAATTACATAAATCTTTCAAACTGTTTTAAATCACTTTCAACTCCCCCCCTCCTCCTTTCTTCTATCTCTTTCACTCTATCCGCAAGCACTCACCATTAATGCCTACATCAGGCCACGGGAGCCAATTGTTAAGGAGAGGCTCTAAGTGCACGGCCCGATCGATATTGATAATGTCGAAAATGTGGTAGGAAAACGAGCGAGAGCGGCGGAGAAATATAAAAAGGGAAAAGCATAAATCTGAACGCGGTGAATAGGGGAGAGCAGCTGTGGTGGCCTCTGAATTGTCCCCCTTCACCTCTTTGGAAACATCATCAGCACTAATCAGAGCCTCGGCTAAAGAAAACGCTGGTCCTTGATTTACACCTATCGCCCTCCGATGCGTAGCCGATGGAGAGGGGACAGGGGAGAGGGGTTGGCGACAAAAGGAGGAGAAGCGGGAAAATGAAAAGAGTCGAGCTGGCGAGCAATAATGCGCCCAGACGCAAAAGCAAAAAGCGGCGTTCCTTCAAGGTCAGCCTCAGGTGAAGCAAAAGGTTGTGCACAGGTCATGTGGCTTTGGGTGGGTGGAGGGGGGTGACTGCTTCAGACGTTAAAGGGTGATGGCGATGGAGCAGGAAGAGGAGGGGCGGTTGTGGGGGGTGGCGTCCCTGCTCTCACATCAATCTGCTGGGCATGGACCACAGCAATAAAGGAGATGGAGAGACTTAGGCAGGAGAGAAAAGGGTGAGAAAAAAAGAAAATGTACAGGCAGATTGTGAAACAGCTCGCCTTTCAACTACTAACTGCTTTTCATGTAAATGTCTGGGACTGACACTTCTTACACCCCCCTCACCCGAGGCCTCCCCCCTCTCACACACACACATGCTCTCCATCGCTCTCTCTCTCTCTCTCTCTCCCTCTCTCTCTCTCTCTCTCTCTTCATCTCTTTTACTTCGGTACACTCTCTGTCAGCAGA